ATGACCATGAAAAACATGCTTAAATGACCCTCAGTCAAAATGAGAGTTAAGGTAAAAGCAGTGTTGAACGCAGAATTTTCACTCCGGTTCTAGTATGTGAAAGATAATTACTGTAGGACCTAAAAGTAATTTGATGTCATAAGAAGTAAAACAAACGTTCCATCATAATAGCTAAAGCCACTGTGATGTCATAAGAAGTAAAACAATTGTTCCAACATAATAACTAAAGCCACTGTGATGTCATAAGGAGTAAACAATTATTCCATCATAATAGCTAAAGCCATTGTGATGTCATAAGATGTAAAACAAATGTTCCAACATAATAACTAAAGCCACTGTGATGTCATAAGGAGTAAAACAAATGTTCCAACATAATAGCTAAAGCCATTGTGATGTCATAAGTAAACAATTGTTCCATCATAATAGCTAAAGCTATTATATTTGTGACATCATAACTAAAACCACTGTCAATAGTAATTAAGCAGCTGTGATGTAACTAAAGCCACTGTGACTTCAAGAGAAGCAAAAAAAATTGTGACGTCATAGAAAGTAAACAATTGTTACACAACAATTTTGTGGGGTCATGAGAAGTAAAATAACTGACATAACTAATATCACTGTGATGTCATGAGAGGTAAAGCCATTGTGATGTCATAAGTGAAACTCTTCAGTTGTCAGTCGTGTGGCGTCCTGATCAGAGATGATCAGCGCTCAGCCGGTCAGTTTAAAGTTATAGAATGTTTACTGTTCTACACTGAGACTCCCCTCAATCTGAAGATGTGATCTATCTCTACCACCGGAGTGGAGGTGAAACTCACAGGCCTGGCAGCCCGAGCCCTCCTGCTGGAGGTCTGGGAGGGTCACACTGTCCGGCAAGAACTCTCTTTTTACATTCAGACTCCTGAGTCCGGTCCAAACGTAATAATTCTTCCATCCCATCCTGACGCGCACACTCAGTTTTTGTAGGTTATGAAAACTTTTCACTCTTGACTTTAATATAAGCTAAATATCTTAACCTCTTACTGACCAGGGTACATTTTGGTTTGTCCATCTGAATTTACATGACCAAATTGTAAAGCAAATTATTCAGTAACTGCATGAAAAAAATGTAAATATTTTATTTATTTATTTTGTTAAAGCTCCCCTCAAATTAACAGAACATGTGTTTTATGATCACACATATTGCTATATGCTTACAATTTACTGCTGAAAGCCAAAAATCTTAGACGCTCTTTGTGTTATTTTATTAAAATAATTTTTACAGAGCAGATCACTGAAGAGACGCCATCTGTTTATAGTTTATAGCTCAGATTTGTGGAAAAATGGGTCGACTTTCAGTAGACAAAAAAATTGTGAGTTCAGCTTCTTTTATTATAAGGGTTTAAAATTACATCACCCATCTGTTTGACTGGAAAGAGGACAGTTACAGCTCTCATACGACCCCCACCTTTTGAACGTAGCTTATGAAATATGAAAGTTATGAAGAATATGACGAAGTGCGTTTTGGAACCACTGGTGGCCTCAACGAGTTGAAAAGGTTAAAAATAAGAGATCTAAGACATCAAAACATTCAGCCCACAGTAGTGACACTACACAAACAATACAAGACACTGAATAAGCAGAGGAAGACAGTCTTTTGGTTCTGCTAATAACTTTATTTAAATAAGACACAAGATCTCTATTTTGAAAAATAAGAAACAATTAGCCACATCAGGCCAAAGAAAATAAGTTGTGGCTTTTTACACTGTCAGCTGTGGACAGTCACCAGACACCAACCTCGGACGTATGTACAAACGTTACGCAAGCTCGGCAGCCGGTGCCACGGGACACCACGCGGCTACGATAAAGTAAAAGCTACAAGGCTTTAAAAAACAGATGTTCTCGACATTGTTGATAGTCTAACTTTGCGAGAGAGTGATCACTATAGGACACAGGGGTCGGACAGAGGACAGGAGTGTGTTCAAAGCTTTTAAGTGCAGTGTTGTTTCGCAGAAAGCTCTCTTCCTCGAGGAGATTCCACAATTCGTGATCGACGCGTGAACAGTTCGTCCCCTCTAAAAGCAACGGTCCTGACCTTCACCACTCAGAAAGCCCCGCCATCGTGTGGGCACACACTCAACGTCGATTTAGTGGTCACAACAACCCAATTATTTATTGCCATTGTGCGCGAATGGACGAGCAGCCCAGACTGACCTTCGCCTGACCTGCTAATTCATATTCATGCAAATAAACGATGGCTTGCTAGCAATATGCCAGCAATGTGCTCTGGTCACACCACCAGTGCTGGTTTCTGTATCGGTTGATGGCTTTATCAACAGGCTGCATGCTGACTTGGCTCCAGAACCAAAACTCTGCGCAATGGAGAGGAAACTGCTCCTTCTCATTTCTCCTCGAATGGAAAGTTGGAAACGTTAGCTTTAAAGCAATTCGGCTTTTTTTTCCCCAGCTAAACAAAAAACCTTCGCTATTATTGCACACAGTCAGTTAACCAAAAATAACAGCAGTACCAATCATTCAATAAACTACGGATTTCTGATAATAAGGTGCGTAAAATAAAACAAAATAAAATAAAATAAAAAGAAATGCAAAGCCACTTTGTCTAAAATGCAACAAGTTGGTCACCAATGTGGTCGTCAATGCCTGTAATAAAACTTGGGGGGCGTTTCCCTCGAATAATCTTGATAAATACTGCACAGAAATGGTTTTGTTATCAATAAGGTCGATGAAATGTTGAAGAAAACTGTCCGTCTGAATGTGTTTTATGTAAATTAGTAAATAATGCCCACCCATAATCAATGACCGATCGATCAGCCCGCACCCGCATCAATGAAACGTCCAGGCCAGAAGATGAAGACAGCGACAGGAGCCATGCAAGACGATCTCACGGAATCTGCTTTACACACAGCTCTATACAGTGCACCTGTACCACGTGCACAACATCTGAACAGCCTAAGGTTTGAGGAAAAACCTGAACCTACAATGCTGATCTGATTAAGTGAGATTACATCGTTAAGTCAGTGGTGGGGAAACTCTTCAGCATCGTAATGTACATACAGCACTGTGCAAAAGTCAAAGAGCAACTGTGTTTTGTTTAATTTTCCAGTCAGAACAGCTACTGAATTATAATTCCACAGATTTTACAAACTGTCTGCATAATTAAATCAATAAAGTCATTCAGAGTGGTTTGGTGTGAAACGCTCGGGCCTCGAGAAACTCAGAATTGTTCAGTGGTGGTGATAGGAACCAGACGTCCACCTCTAAAAGCTCCCTCACAGAAAGTTACTACATGAAATGGTTATGAATTCTCTGCCTGATGACTGAGACACTGTTTTATGATAGTTTTGAGCAGATTTTGGGCAGAAAATGTATTTTTTAAAAGCCATTCATGGCAGGATGTAAGGAAAAACAGCCCCCAAAGAAAACGTATTTTTAATTTACCACTATTTTATTGTCACAACATTACATACAAAAAACTCTGAAGACACATGTACGTTCACTGGCTGTTCAGCCTCAGGTCCCATCATAACCACTTTAATGAAATACGAGTTATTACGTTTTTCTTTAATGCATCATTTCACATCAAACCACTCTGAATGAGTTTATCTACTGAACAATTCAATCATGCAGTATTTTTTAAAAAAATGGTTGGAATTCTCCTTCATTCTCCTCCTACAAGAAACAACAGAAAACAAAATACACAGAAGCATAAACAAATGAATGTAATTTGTCCTCCACTCTACCTTCATTACAGCTTCCATTCTTTTCAAGAGACTCACTTTCAGTTTTTAAAGAAAGGCTTCTGCTTCTCACCTTCCAAATAATCCCAAACACATTCAGTGGTGTTGGGGTCTGGACTCTGGGGTGGTCAGTCTATTGCTCAGCTTCTTTGTTTGATGTGTCCGTCTCCTTTTCTCAGTGAGGTTCTTCTTGAACAGCTACACAACCTTTCAGACCCACAGCGCTGAGTCGTCTTCTCACAGTGGAAGGATGGACAGAAACACCTGTGGATGTTTTCAGATCTGAAGCAGCTTGATTTTCTCCTCTCTCTCAGAGATGAAAGCTTTAAGTGCTGTTTATCTGATGGGGGCAGTTTTGGTGTCTACCAGGTCTTCCAGGTGGTTGTTAGGAGCCTCATTTTCTCTGCAGCTTAATCAGTTTTTGAACTCCAGTATTGGAAACTCTTTCATTTTCTTCCTTTCCTGTACAAGTGGCTTATTTTATGTCTAATCTCCCCAGAAACATCTCCTGAATGAACACCTTGTATATAATGACTGTTTTGACTGGAAATGTACATTTACAGCATTTGGCAGACGCTCTTATCCAGAGCGACTTACAATTCAATCATTTTACACAGGTAGGCGAAAGTAGTGTTAGGAGTCTTGCCCAAGGACTCTTATTGGTATAGTGCAGGGTTCTTACCCAGGTGGTGACCGAACCCCAGTCTACAGCGTAGAAGGCAGAGGTGTTACCCACCACACTACACCAACCATCATTAAACTAAACAAGCGAAGGTGGACTCTGACGTTCGCACAGTACTGTACACTCCAACTGGCCTCTCAGCCTGCAGTCAAACTCCAGCCATCACTGCATCTCTGTCAGAGCATCTTACAAGCACATCAACCTCACTCACCATCAGTTTTAGAGCCAGCGGCCCTGATGCACTCACAACCATCCGAGGCAAGGAAGGCAAGTTTATAAGCAACGATGCCTGCTTGCCTCGGAATGCTGCCAGTGGACCAATGGCACTCCTCCATCCATCTGAAACTGCTGAAACACCAAGAGGCTTTAAACACTCAAGACTGCTCTTCAACATGGAATGTCACAAGTTACTCCGGAACCACTTCTGAAGGTAAATGAAAAACGGACAGATGTTTGGTGGGTGGGTGGGTTGGGGGGGTTCAATTTGTGGATGGATACACAGTACATTCCAAATTTCCTGAGTTTAGACTCCGAGTGACACACCTGAAGCTAGGTTATAAACGGATACTGTGCAATAACTGTGGCTTTTTTTTTTTTAATTTTACATATGAATATTGTTTTTACTTTTTTTTTTTAAACTATTTTTGCATTGGATGTTTTAAAAGTTACAAAACCTTGACATAGTGTAAACATAATTCTGAAGAGTATAACTCCTTTTTTCTATAACATACATAAAGTAATATATGATTTTCCATTCAAACAAGCTTTTTTTTCTCTTTTATATAGATATCTATAGATCGATACAGAGAGCTTATTCATACTGTGGATGTTACAAAAAAGGAACAAGACCTACTATCAGTTTCAGATGCATGCCGCTGACCCTATTAAACCCTTCTTGAAGCTTTTGTTTTCCACTGAATGCCAGCATTATCGTGTAGTAGCTGATAAGGCGGCACCTGCTTTTGCACTAAAGTGAACGTTAATGCCGACACGCAGGCCACTTCGCTTAAGATTCAGTCACCCAACGAAGCGAAGCGAAGCCGCGGGTTTTGGGGAACAACTGCGCAGCTGTTTGGAACAACATCCGTGAAAAAAGTGAACGACTCCAAAAGAGCAAATGCAAAATGATGGAATGCGACTAAATTCAACGCCAAACGGTTAAATAAGATGAGATTAAAATCAGGAAAAAACACAGCTCACTTTGTTTTCCTTTCTTTTGAAGGAATAGTTTCCGGAAAAGTCAAATGTATGTGATTTTCTACTTACCCCAGATGCAGATTATCAGCCAAGACATGTTTGGTGTACAAATTTTGCTTCTTTAGTTCAGAACGGGAGCTGCTACGCTAACGGTGCTAACAAATATCAGAGGCAAAGTATCATTTCCACAATTTCAGGCCAAAATCTTCCTATGTTTGCTTCAAATTACGTCGATAAGCGACGTAAACGCGTTAGTAAAATGACACAGATAGACTTTATTTACATATTTAGCCTAAATCTGTATGTACATTATTATCATCTGCATATAGATCTGCTTTCGTAAAACATCACTATGCAGGGATGTAGCATTAGCACAGTAATACCGAAGGGTTTCTTACTGTAAGAGAAGCTGCATATCGAATAAGGATAAACCTACAAAAATGAGTACAAACACACTAACTTGGTAAACATTACCGCCTGAATATGACCAGGTTTCTATCACAGAGTGTCACACTGTATTCCTGTCTGTGCAACCTGGTTCAGGTCCTGGATGGAGCTTGAGCGGGTCGAGAGAAGTGTTTGGGTGACTATTGACTTCCAGTGTTAGCAATGTTGCAGCTCCAGGTCTAAACTAAAACACCAGCCATGTCCTGACTGATCATCTACATCTGGGATGTTGAAAATTACATATAAATTACATTTTTCGCCAAACTATTCCTTTAGGATTAACAGTGATGTTAACTTCTCGCTTGCATATTTTGAGGTTCCAACATCCAGTCATGCTCTATATTTCTCCATTTATAATATATAATCTTTTACCAGCTTCTCCCGACGCTGTTCCAACTACAGCCTTTCTGGTGAAATTAGCCCACACGTTAACCGTTATGTTCATCCCTGTCAGTAACAGTGCTCAGGAGATCGCCGTGGATGTGAAGGTGGTTTGCAGTGGAAAGTTGTTTGTGTGTTCGGGACCTTGTTGCTATGCCATGCAGACAGTGGAGTTTTCAGCACAAAGATGGGACCCTCCAGAGAGGACGGGTGGGGGTGGGTGGGTAGAGGCCCTCTAGGCAGCCTGTGGTGGGACAGGGGTTTGCGAAAGTGCCACGGAGACCAGCTCCGAGCAAATCTAGCTAACTGCATAGTTCTGAGGCTGGGCGGGGCATTCCGAGGGCGCCTCCTGCTGTTGGGACGGGGAGGTGGCGGGGGACTCCGGCGGGTCGTCTGTGCTGGTGCTGGTGGAGACCTGAGTGGGGTGGAGGGGCGCGTAAGCAGGGGGCGCCGAGCTGGGGCCGGCCGCCGCGTCGCCGTCCTCTTCTTCGGGCTGCGAGGCGGAGTGCTGTAGCAGAGAGCCGGGCAGTCTGACCGGGCAGAATGCTGAGCCAGTCGGGATGAAGTTCACCTTGTTTTTGTCAGGGCAGGAGAAGAGAGGGACGGCAGCTGACTGTCTGGACCTGGAAGGAAGAAAAAACAAGTGAATATTAATGCAAAACACATTTCTGTAAAGCACTTTACAGTCAGAGAAAAATGTGGTTAAAAGTTCTGAAAATGTGGTTAAAAGTTTGTAAGAACCGCTTTGGTAAAAAACAAAAACATCTCTCATTTGCCTACTGCTAAGATCACATGATACAGTCAGAGAGATCAGCCACTGCCTAGTGGTTTCTATTAGGTTTTCATGTGAACAGATATTAGCTACGTTCACATTATAAGCCTCGTTGCTCAAATCTGATTTTCTGCTCAAATCCGATCTCTCTGACAGGATGCTTCACACTCGTTTAGGTGAGTGATTCAAATCTGTCATTAATGTGACGAACCGGCGTCCTGAAATGACACATCCTACTCAGTAACGTCACGTGAATGAATCACCGCATCATCAGCACAAACTAACGAGCAGAACGAGCTTCGCTGAGAAGATAATTAACTCTGATCAGCTCTCAGCTTCATTATTAGAGCGAGACGAAGGAGAAAAAGGTGAGATGAGCTGCTTTTCCACCGTTTACAGGCTTTAACTTCTGTTCGGCGCTGTTGCCATGGTAACGCTGAATGATGGCGCACGTGCAGTGGAAAAAAAGCACATGAATTCTGATCTGAGCGTCTCGTTAAGATCGCATGACCACGAAACGGATACGTATCCGATCTAGGACCACATATGAAAGTGACTCAGGTCGGACTTGAAAAGATCAGATTTGTGTCCACACAGCCCTGAAAACATCAGATCTGAGTCATATTAGGGCAAAAAATCAGATTTGTGCCACTTCAGCCAGGTAATGTGAACGTGACCTTTCTGTTCTTTACCTATTGTTGTCTGTGGAAATCAGTGGTGCAATTTAAACGCGACAGATAGAGATCAGGGGCTGCATTAGAGAAACTGCCTGTCTTCAGTCCTAAGTCAAGACTAGAAAAGGTCAAGATAAGATTTTCACAAAATCACATTACAAAAGCAAATCTTATCTTAAATCTTATCTTAATTCAGGAAATCTGTCCTACATCATAACTTACAGCATCTTATCTCAAGTTAGGAAACCTTAAACTACTTGATCAAGGTCAATAATCAATTGTTATGTCTGTTACCAAGCAACCAGCAATATGTGTAAAACCTAAAGAACGTGATAAACGTGAAGTTAAAAACGCAGCTATTGACGTAAAAAAGGTGAAAACAAAACTGAAGTGCAGTGAACGTCTGGACGTTTGAAAAAGTTAGCAATATCGTGTTTCCATTTCCAAAGCTTTATCCAGTGTGTGTTATTTCACAATAAACATCCACACATTCAACTGAGTCTCCTCTGTTCACTGCAATCACTGTGACGCTTTGTCATGTTTTCATTGACGCTAATTGAAAACACACGAGTGTATTAAGAGGGGAACGGGGAGAACGTGGATGCAGTGTCCAGGATTTGTGAACCACAGATTTAGGAGGAAAAAAACCAAAACAAAAATCATCACTTTCACAAGTAAATCCACTGTTTGGCAGAATGAATAAATGCCACCTCATTATACTAGTTATAGTGAACTTGTTATGCTGCCTGTCACAGTTGCACAAAGCAACATTATCTTTTTTCAATAGAACCACTAAGGCTACGTTTACACAGCAGGTTAAAGTGACCCAAATCTGTTCTTTTTTGCCGTATGTGAAACAGATGTGTGTCTGTGCGTCAGTGTGACAGATAAACACACTGAATCTGACATTTTCAATTCCGATTTGAGACGCTTTCATATGTGGTACTCAAATCCGATATGTATCCGATCTGCGGCAGTGTGACTCAGTCTGAACATCCAGATCGGAATTCATGCGACTTTTACGTCAATCCAACTCCACATTCGTCATAGTTTCGCGCTCCTGAGGCTCAGAAACATTTAGGCTGATGTTTCTTAAAATTAGAAGGCACTTATCACAATTTCGAACGAAATGGCCGAACGCGGCCGGAGGAGACCGAGTGGCTGTGGCAGAATAACGCACCCTTTTTATTGGCGAACTCGAACACATTCTGGGTGATGAGTCCAGCTGTCAATCACTGGAACTTCATAATCGCTCCTGTGATGCTGGCGAAGACGAAACTGAAAGCTCCAGGAGTGACAGGCGTTCGCTGGCCGTCATGACTGTTTACCTCTGGATGAGCCATGTGAAGCTCTGTTCTTTTGTGCATGTGGGTCAGTTTAGGAGCTGATCTGTTCAGACTGATGTCGCATACAGATCACATTTAAAAGATATTGTCATTTTTAAATTTTAAATATTGTCAACAGCCAAAAAAATTTGGTGAGAAAATCAGATTTGGGCCACTTTTACCTGCTGTGTAAACGTAGCCTAAGAGTAGAAATGGAAGGTTAAAACAGAAGTTAGGTCACTTTTGGGGTTTATCCTAAAGTTAGGACAGTATTTAGGAAATCTTTTTTAGTTGGAGTTAAAATTAGATGATGATGATGATGATAAGATAAGATAAAATAGCAGAAAAAGTTTCTGAAATACAGCCTGAGATTGAAAAATGTATGAGTATTTCTTTAAAGAGCTCATATCATGGAAAGCTAAATTTTCTTCACCTTTTTTTGAAATAAAAGTAGTATGTAAACATCGTTTAGTTTTAAAACATACCTTTCACTCACCTGTCCATTCATATTAATATTAAAATTAATGGCATATAAAATAAAATGCATAAAAATGCAGGATTTGGCCCTTTGAAGTTCTAGATCAGAGGTCACTAATAGGCGGACTGCGGTCCTTTTCCGGACCCAGATGCTGTCCTATGCTGACCTGAACCTACAACCGATAAACTATGGAGAATTATATATGTTTGATGGGTCGTCCTATTTTAATTGGCGTAACATTTCTAGCCATTATGGTGCCACTTGATCGGCCCTGGAGACTCACAGACCAATCGCATGCGTTGTAGATATCACACGTGACGCTACTCAGCCAATCATATCTGTGCATTGCGATGAGCACTGAGACTAAAAAGAGAAAACTGACAATAAATCTTGTTGAAATATGACTGAATTGTACTTTATTTGATTTGACATTCAGTTGTTGACTGTATAAGATGTTGATATACCTACTAGGCTACTTCAGTTTACAGTATATGGCACTGAGTCATAATGCACGTTAGACATTATGATGTTCTGGACCTTTGCTTGAGGACATTTTCTTTAACTGGACCTTATTGAATTTAATTAAATACCCCTGATCTAGAGAGAGAACAGTAAGCTCTAGAAACGAGGCCGCACTCACGTCATTTCCTCAAACACTTTGATCTTCTCGCAGCCCTCTGGAGGCTCTCGCTTGAACATGTAGCTGTTGTTGGGTTTGGGAGAGGAGGCGAACTTTGGTAGCGGGGAGCTGCTGCCGCTGTCTGCAGTGAGGAAGCACAAGAAGCAATCAGACAGTGCTGATACTAAAACATGCACTACTGTTCAGTATGTACACCATCGCTGTCGAGACAAAACCCTGCATCTCCCAATTTCCAAGTATTCCCAAAATAGTTTATAGTTTTAATGTTTAAAGTTCATTTAATGTAAGGTTAAGGCTGACCTTTGTCTCGGTCATCGAGCAGCTCGTCTGTGGAGTACGGGCTGCCGTCGTGTGATCCTGGTGGGCAGGCGGGTGAGGGGCAAGGGGACAGGCTGGAGCAGCTACTGGAGCGGCCCGGCACCGAGGGGGTCTGAGTGTCCACACTGCGGCTACTGCTGCTGCGCTGCTGAGGGGGGAACGGAGCCCGCCGGCCATCAGGGACCTCCAGAGCCTGGATGAGGGGTGGGGGGGAGGGAGAAAGAGAAAAGGAAAAGTGTCAGGGAAAGAAGTTGGAAAAGACAGAAAGGGCGAGGGAGGGGAGAGAGGAGGCGCAATAAAATGTACGATGATCATCAGACAAAAGATTAAACTCGGCATCTCAAAACATCCTTAAAGGAATATTACAGCATTTGTCAACCTCACCAGCTGCACACTGGCTTTATTATGAGCGAGTCAGGAGAATAAAAACAGCCTAAAATACAGTGTCATGTGCTGCTGTGAGCCTGTAAAGCCTAAAATAAAAATGAAGAAAAGTCAGAGGTGTCGCGTCGGATCTCCCGGGAGTTTTTCACACCAAGTCATATGTCTTTACATACTGAAGATATGATGACGATAGTAAATAATACACTAACATCCTCAGAAGACACATCCAGTCAAGTTTTGACTGAGTTCCCTTTGCATTCTCTTTCAACACACTCTTTCCTTGCTCCAGGGAGGGGTCCAAAGCAAAACCCATGTTAGGGCTGGGCGATTAATCAAAAAGTACCTGAAACCGACATTCAGAATCTCTAACTGATGTAATGTTGTCCATGTTGGTTATTTAGATTTTTTAAAATTCTGTTAATCCTTTCCCCACTCTGTGTGTGTTCATGTACTGTCCCCTTAAAAACTTACTACCGTGCGTGTCGTCACGTGACTCCACCACGTCCAGTCTGCAACATGGAAGCTAAGGCTACGTTCACACAGCAGGTAAAAGTGGCCCAAATCTGATTTTCTCACCAAATCTGATTTTTTTGTTTGGCTGTTCAGATTATCTTTTAAATGTGATCTGTATGCGACATCAGTCTGAACAGATCAGCTCCTAAACTGACCCGCATGCGCAAAAGAACAGAGCGTCACGCTGCTTCACGGCTCATCCAGAGGTAAACAATCACGAAACACCAGTCGCTGCCGGAGGATCAGCTTCATCTTCATCAGCATCACAGGAGCCATCATGAAGCTTCACTGACTGACAGCTGGGCTCATCACCCAGAATGTGTTCGAGCCGTAAAAAGGGCGCGGTCACTTCTTTGGTTCGCGTCCTCTGATTCTTTAAACTCTGCTTTCAGACCTTTAACTGTTCTTTGACGCTGCAGCCTCGTTCTCCTGCGGCCGCGTTCGGACATTTCTTTAGAAATCTCTTCAAACACAGAAGGTTTTAGATGAGTCTCTTCTAATTCTTGAACAGAAATATCACCCCAAATGTTTATGCATGCAATTACACATTTCCACCAGAGAGGTCTCTGAAACCCCAAAACTTACAGAGCGTAGCTTGAAGACAAAAAACTTTCTCCAGTTTTCCTTTTATTACTAGCTCTCCAGCTTAGTAAGGGTATGAAATAAAGATGAAAATGCCCAGATTTCAGAAAATGATATTAGCCAACATAATTTGAACACAGTGATTAACTGGCTTTTCTCTGCAAAGTTGGCTTTTAGGTTGTAAAAAGCTGGCCAACAGTACTTTTTTAGAAATAAAGGAAAGTGGCTGGATTTACTGTCAGCATTTCTCCATTCTTTTTCTCTATATTTTGTCAGAAGGCAAAGTCTTGTGTTTCTGTGTAGCAAAGAATATATAGCTAATCTCTGAGGTGGGCTGGTCTGCAGTTGTGTAGCTCCTGGTCTGAAAACCCACTCCGGTGAAGTCAAGTCAAGCCAAAGTGTATTTATGTAGCGCTTTTTACAAGAGACATTGTCGCAAAGCAGCTTTACAGAAAAAACGGGTTTGAGACCCCATGAGCGTCTCCAATGGCGAGAGTGGTCAGGAAAAAACTCCCTAAGAGTAAGAGGAAGAAACCTTGAGAGGAACCAAGACCCATCCTCCTCTGGTCAACACTGGATAGCAAACAGCGTTAAAGTATAAAATATTAAAAATACAGAAACGGGGAAAAAACAGGTGAAGCAATGGTTATAATTAAATAGCCTGAGTCTGTGCAGCAGCAGCAGGAAGGTCAGTCCATGCAGGTGAGGTTTGCACAGCTTTGTACAGCGAGAAGCTCAATGGCGATCCTGTATTAGGCTAAAAGTGCTGGAGTATTCCTTCAGTATCAACGTGGCCATCAGTATCTGCAGTATATTTACTACACTTACTGTTAAATCTGCTACTGCACCAGCTTAGAGGCGTATCTCAAACCCATTATCTCATCTAATCTTCATTAGAGATGATGTGTGCTCTGTGTGTGTCTACCTTTAGCTCCTCCTTCTCTCCGTTGTCTTTGATGAAGACTTTCTCCAGCTCGTGGTTGATGCCCTCCATGCTGCTGGGCACTCTGGAGATGGAAGGCTTCGGCACAGTGATGTTGGACAGTGGCATCTGCGCCGGCTTCGACATGGGTGACTGCAGGAAGAGCACACATACAGAGTGTTAGAAAGCCAACAGATCTGGTCTCAGAGTAAGAGAGCTGCCGTAGCAGCAGCTTCCCCAAGTCTGAATGAGTAAAAGGATCCAAAGGATCTACACAGCAGAAACAGATCCAGTTTTTTCAGCTTTATTTATTTATCTTTATTTATCTTGCAACAGCTGATGAGTGATGCACAAAAATGAAGATATCATACTTAGAATTAAAACCACCTCTGTGTAAGTTTGCATTAAGACGGTCACTATTGATTATATTATTAATTACTGACTAATGTACCGGTTATTTTGACTATTAATGGAGTAATCTTTAAAATCAGCCTTACAGTACAAAATGGCCTTAACTAAACACCAAAACACTGCTCAGCCTTTCAAAGACTGCAGGATAGTTTAGTAAAAAGGAAGCTTTAAAAGCATTGCGTAGCGAAAAAGTCCATCTGGCTTTGTTTCTTCCTGCAAAAGAGAGCAGTGTGAGAGTGGACATTCCGCATTATCAAGTATCCGTAGGTATCAAATTCAAATTAATGCTTTTTAATGCCTCCTTTTGAAATCTTACATGCTGATTTGAGGCAGTAATGTCATGAATTTGGCCATGTGATTATATAAGTAACGCAAGTACCACCAGAGACGTTATAAAGGAGGTGACAGCTTGGAAAATGAATTCTGAAAGCCTGTAATGCTCAAAATATCATCTGTTTATGGAGAAAGATTTGCCCTTCAATACAAAACAAAACAAAAAAAAAGAACCAATCGGCTTGCTGGTTATGCCCTGGCAGGGACTCAACTTGGGCTGAGTTGTGGAGATCTGCGCGAGCGCAGTAGCCAGAACAACCAGAAAAACAAGTTTTTGCGCATTATTGAGCGACACGCCACAAACTATTTGAAACATTTGTCAGATTTTATAAGTGATTTCAAATATGTTTTAAAACGGTTATTTGGCATTCAGTTCTGAGTTTTTGGGTCTCTCCCCATTCCAACAGATAGGAATCTGGTCTTGTTTGACTGGAAACAACTGCCCGGTGGCACTGCCAAGATAGCCGCTGAGAGGACATGCTGTCCTAGGAGGACTTTGGTACCAACTTGGTTTCAGCTAGTGCTTCTATTCAACTTCATATAGATGCAATTTGAAACAGAAAACTTTGAATTTCTTCATATTTCTTCAATTTATACGTAAGAAATTTTGGTAACACTTTCTATGAATGTCACCTTTGTAAGCATCTATAAACA